GGTGTGCCTTCCTGAGGGGGCATGAAGAAATTCTACGGGGTGGGGGCGTGAGGTGACCCAGCCCTCCCTCCCTTCCCCTGGTCAAGCTCCCCCGCAAGAAAGAGCCCGGTCCGTCTGGTAAAAAAAAATCAGAAAATCCCATGTGAAATGTCCAGTATCTTCTATTTTTCCTAGCTCGGGCATCCACTGTAACACGTTCAGCTCGGGCTGGCTGGGGCTGGGGAGGATGGAGCATCCTGGACAGATTTCAGAATGGCTGCCTTAAAAGGGCAGTGCCTGCTCTGCTCTTAAAGGGCAACCTTGTTTGTTTGTTTGTTTGTTTGTTTGTTTGTTTGTTTGTTTGTTTGTTTGTTTGTTTGTTTGTTTGTTTGTTTGTTTGTTTGTTTGTTTGTTTGTTTGTTTGTTTGTTTGTTTGTTTGTTTGTTTGTTTGTTTGTTTGTTTGTTTGTTTGTTTGTTTGTTTGTTTGTTTGTTTGTTTGTTTGTTTGTTTGTTTGTTTGTTTGTTTGTTTGTTTGTTTGTTTGTTTGTTTGTTTGTTTGTTTGTTTGTTTGTTTGTTTGTTTGTTTGTTTGTTTGTTTGTTTGTTTGTTTGTTTGTTTGTTTGTTTGTTTGTTTGTTTGTTTGTTTGTTTGTTTGTTTGTTTGTTTGTTTGTTTGTTTGTTTGTTTGTTTGTTTGTTTGTTTGTTTGTTTGTTTGTTTGTTTGTTTGTTTGTTTGTTTGTTTGTTTGTTTGTTTGTTTGTTTGTTTGTTTGTTTGTTTGTTTGTTTGTTTGTTTGTTTGTTTGTTTGTTTGTTTGTTTGTTTGTTTGTTTGTTTTTGGTCAACAACTTTTCCCCTGGAACACTGGCACTTTTTTTTAACACTATACTGGTCCCTGGAATTAAAGGGGCCGTGACTGTTTTTGGCCCCAGTCAGTTCTACCACCCCCCCCTTTTTTTCCTCAATAACTTTTGCTGCTCTTTTCATTTTTGGGGGGTGGGTGGGCATGAGGGTTTCTCAAAATCAAAAAGGGCACATGATGCCGAGAAGTTTGAGAACCACTGCCTTAAATACTAACAAAACATGTAGATGAAACAAAAAACAGGAGTTTTCAGCTAGACCAGACTAACATGGCTACATTTCTATTACTAAAAAACATGTAGATGGTATCAAGCGCTTTCATGGGTACAACCCACTTCTTCTGATGGAGTATTAAATGTCCAGTTCCAAAATAAATAGGGGAAGAGGGCGAGGAGAAGGAAGGGAAAAAAATAGTGAATTAGAGTTTCATGTTACATGAAACTGATAGAGAAGGTGCAAATTGTTCTTAAGTACCCGTTGTTTGGTTGGTTAAGGCATTAGGTTGTGGAAGGCAGTGAGCTACCCAGGTAATGTCTTTGTGATGGGTCCCAAACTTGTAAATGAAGTTAAGTTCCAGCACTTCCCTGTATATTTGGCTTGTGGAATTAGCCTGGAACAATACGGTGTGGTTCTCAACCTTTCCAGATTGCTGTACCCCTTTCAGGAGTCTGATTTTTTTGTGTACCCAAGTTCCAGTTTACTTGAAGTACTTGCTTACAAAAATGGGTTATAACACACTTACTGAAAAATTGTTTATGGTCTCATTTTTTGCCATATACATGTACAGTAAGTTTATTGGACTATAAATACAGCACTTACATTTCAGTGAGCTATTTGAGCTCGTTTTTCACACGAGCCTTGTCATTTGGGGAGGCAGCGAATTAAAAAAATTCCCTGTCGCCACGACCGCCACTTCCAGCTCTTTGTTTTGAAGCCATTTTTGCATGGCAACCATTTGCGCATGACAACTTCAACCTCATTATCGTGCTTGCACACGTTAAATACATAACACACATGTCTAATACACTGAATACATGTATGGTACATTGCCATATAATATAGTATGTGGAGCAGTATAAATAAGTTATGACATTTTAGTTGGTACTTGACAGCTGCTTGTTATGTAGCCTGTTATAGACCTAGGCAAATATCTAGAAGAGTTTACTCCTCTTGGAAGATCTCTGCATACCACCCCTGGTTGAGAACCACTGGGATGCCACCATGCTAGGCACTGTACATAAAATAGACACAGTCCTGCCCCAAATAGTTCAGAATCCAAATCCTCTCTCTTGAGCAAAGATGGTAAATTGTTCAAGTGGGACTCCTCTTCCTGTGTAATTTGTGCTGTCTGCCACAGTGGGAGGCTGAGCTATCATTGAGGCTCCGAAGTGGCATCGCACTATAGTTCCTGTTATAATGCCCCCAAGGGTGCAGCCTTAAACAATGTGTTCAGTTCTCATCAGCTGTGCTAAAAAAGGCGATAGCAGAAACAGTAGTATCTGGAAAGCCTTCTGTCTGCAGAAAAAGACTGGGACTTACAGGGCAGACAAATGAGAGAGGGTGTGATACAAGTAAACCTAATTAATGGTATGGAAAAGGGATTTGGGGCCTTTCTCTCATACTAACTTCTCATTGTGTTAGAATAAACAAAAAAACAGGACTATGTAGCACTTTAAAGACTAACAAGATGGTTTATTAGGTGATGAGCTTTCGTGGGCCAGACCCACTTCCTCAGATCAAATAGTCCTGTTTTTTTTTGTTTCGGCTATACCAGACTAACACGGCTACATTTCTATCACTATTTTGTTAGAATAAAAGATTCAATTTAGCCAATTCACTCAAAACAAAAAGGAATAATCACATACTTTAATGCAATGTATATGGCTATCGTGTGGAACTCATAGTCACAATATTAGGCCAAGAAATTAGTTGCTTTAGAAATATTACAGAGGAGAATGTCCACTGTTGTTGTTGGGCAAAAGCAAAAGAGTTTGCATCTTTACCATTTTTTTTTATTCCCATAAGGTTTGACAGAAACATCCTGTTCCCTTTTGGGCAAATTAATTCCATAATTATGTGTACTAGGGTTTCTTGCATGGTCCTCTGAAGTATCTGGCACTGCCAAACAGGATACTAAAACAAATCAACTGCTAGTCAGATCGAGGATGGCAATTTGAATATTTCCATCACTACTTTATGCATTCTTGTCTCTCTGCTGCTATGCGGTGTGTATTGTCTGTTGTCTTCCAAACTGTGCTGATCCTTACCACCTACTAGTTGTGCTGTTTGACTGTAAAATGGCATCTGGAATTTAGACGTTCATGTCAGCTGACATTCCCGCAGAACTGAGGATTCTGATAGTTTTCACGTTGTTCCAGTCTTCATATGGGAAGCAAAGTACCAGGGGGGTGAGAAGAGATTGAATGACAGCTGTTCAAAAAGCATTCCAGCACATGTGGTTCTGTAAAACTGTCTAGCTGTGAGTTATCAAACATTACCAAGCTGATGACTTTATATAACCAGTTCTGTTTCCGCCATCGTTATAAGCTACACTTTCTCAAATAGTGGAAGCATAGATCACTCCAAGGAGTGGTATATAACCTCCGTGAAGTCACTCAATGAAAATGTCTGCATTTTAAAGATTGCTTCCTCTGTGCTCTAATAACTTGTTCACAACCTTTTTTCCTGTCTGTAAGCATACCAGGTACACTGTGATTCTGATCAGGTGATGATTAAAATGCATGAGGAAAAAAATGCTTCAGACATTTATTAACAGGGGTGTGTGTACACACCTTGACTTAAAAAAAAAAAATACTTGGACCAATTACTATAAAATTTCTAACTCAGTGTTGGAGCACAGTGAAACTGAGATGGTTATGATCAGCACCATCATCACTGTATTGGTTAAATGTTCTCATTGCAGTTAAAAATTAAACCATTACAATGACTGCAGTAAAATTTTACTGAAAGGATTTATCCGTAGAATTGGCTGCATGAAATGGAATGCATATGCATGTGGAGAAGATTTAATATTTTCTGCTAAAAGAGATGCCCTTTACCAACATGCGTCACTTTCATGATTTAAAGTTTAGTTATGCTTAGGACGGTAACTCTGAAAAGATAACTTAGCGTTCCAGATTCAGTCTGCTGTTTTGCCTCAGATTTGCTCTGACTACCACTGCCAGCTCAAGTTGTCATTGGAAAGTCCACTTGTGAGGAATCTAGCCTTGTAAAGCCTCGCCTTCCGTCACAAGGATCCTGGGATGGGGACTTTGCTAGCAGTTTGCTATTCTGCTTCATGCATCAGTCATAAAGTCTCTTCTCCAACAGGTTCTGCACTACGGGCATCTACAGACTAGCCCTGTCGAATTTTTAACTTCCCCATAAACTTCCTTGTGGCGACTTTGAACGGGTTTCATTGAACTTCTTTCAAAAGCAGCTTCCCACACACATAGCTTCACGTAGCATTCACACTTGTGCATCTTTGAAACACTACTCCAGTG